CACTAAGCAACATCCAATAAGGATCGGTAGGCAGTTGCCAATAGTGTAAGTACTAATATGAAGTGTATTAAGCAACATCCAATAAGGGTCAGTAGGTAGTTGCCAATAGTGTAAGTACTAATACGAAGTGTAATACCTTCACACTAGCAATCACGTCCGTTGCACCCATCTTGACTCTTGCTGAACCACTTGCCTTTTCAAAGACCACAAGGACAAACAATTTAGCATGAAAATATAAAAAGTATGCAAAGAATTAATCAGCAAAACAACATGCTCTCCACCTGTGGAATGACACCAGTCTCCACAAAAATGGGCCGGTAAGTTAATCGTTTACGACCATCGGTTCGAATATCTTGAGCAATTCCACCCTTTATAAAGTTCTTCTCTCCAAGCGAAAGACCCACCATAACTGCACTAATGCTGAAGAACGTGGATCAAACTTTACAAAGTTGATTTAAAAAATGTTCACCGACAATGTGCATGACATTGAAACACATCATGAATAAGTGAAATAAGACAGTGTTGTAGATGTCAACATGTGAAGAATCAACAAAGACAGTCCTTTCTAGTTACCATTGTTAAATTAAATTTAGCAGAGTGATATAGTCTGCCGAATGCAATGGGACTTGGATGTCCAAGATGAGAATTAGCCCTTGTTGGAGTCCCATTTTTTTTTATCAAAATACACTCTTCAACAGTGATTTGACTCCATTTCAACCATATATTTAAACAAACTGATATTATACACAAATCCAAAACTTTTCCTTATTTTTTAACCACACATTCTCTATCATAACAATATTTCAAAATGTATTTTTTGAAAACAATGGGGCTCAAACAACCCCTTAGTGAAGAGATTAAGTACTGAACTGACCAGTACAACCAGACCACCATATAAAGACAAAATTAGATCCATAAAGACGTATTTTTGAAAACCAACCCGGTCATTGTCATTGTACTAGACGTCAATATATATAAAAAATTGTTGCAACTAAAGAACAACTCACACATTCCCTCTCTGTGAAAGCACTTAAATCACGAACCTCCAACCCATAATTTCCACTCCCTGATTTTCTTCTTGATTTTCCGCTGCCTTCTCTTTTTCTTTAAATCTCTTCTTTACCTTTTTGTGGCAGTTGACAAATTTGTTTTTGTGCAGTAGAAAATTTGGGACTAGCAAGGGAGGATAAGCTTGTGGAGATGCAACGGCTAACTGGCGGATCCAAAAATTTCAGTGAGCTAGGGCAGTCATTAACCATCAACGATCGTAATAACGAGATTGTTTATTAAAATTTAATTAAATAATAATAAAAAAAATTCAATCAATATTACAATTGAACTTATCGGATTATGCACAAACAAATGGATCCATCTAAAAAATTGTGGCAAACCCATCTAAAGAAATTCAAGAGAAGAATCACACAACTTTACGGTTGAATTTCAGTCGACTATCAGCATTGCACAACAAAACGATTTTCCTTTGCCTCATTTTCCAAGTCCCCACACAAAGAAGAGCAATAGAAGCCCCAATATCACTATTTTACACCAAACAGAGAGACCCATCTAAATATTGCCCAAGAAAGCCCAGAAAAAATAGTAATTAAATAGTTCTCCCATGGTGGTTCAGTGAAGAAATATTTTTTCTGATTTTGTGAACAGCAACTCTATAGAAAGCCAATCAACCCAACTGACCAAATCCTTGTTCCACGATTCTAAGACGAAAATCCAATTACACTCCCCAAAATCATTAAAATCCAAAATAGAAAGAAAGAAAGCACTGAATCACAGACCCACAAATCAAGTACCATAAAATAAATCTGCAATTGATATCACACATATTAAACACCGAATATTAAACATATCTAGATACTACCTGGAGGATGCTGTTGTAATAGTAAGTGTTGCCGAAGTTGTCGAGGTCGAAATAGTGTTCGCCTTCGGTAAATGGTTGTCAAGACCCTTCTCTATCTTGGAACTGCCGCACCCACAGTGAGAGTGAGCCTAAAGGTTCACAGTGACACAATCACGGTTGCAGAGTCTGAGCACCGCCGTGCTCTGCCGAAGGATTACCTCTGTCGCTTACGTATCTTCCAATTTCTTGGCGTAATTACTAGGTGCAAGTAGTTAATACGTCCCAAAATCAGCTTAATTGTCAAATTATTTGTCTGAACTTTTTTAATTTTCTTTTGCGCGCCTCCCTCTACGTGAAACAATACCTAACATGCCCTGTTTATCTAATGGTGCAAAAAACGGGAGCGACGTTATGTCACGTTGTTGATAGTTGTAGTGTAGGAGTTCGATTCCTAAAATATGAAATTGAACTCATTATAGGTGCAGTTTGTAGGCAGCTCTTGTTCTCTGACATGTTGGGATATGTCTCGCGATTTACCTCCTTCACAAAGCTCTAGGGCCGGGGCGTTGAGAGCCCTCAATATTGGGGTTCAACCTTTTTTATTTTTAACAATACCTAACATATTAGGGGCGACGTGGTCCGAATTGGTTCGAATAGAATTAGATTCGAAATTTTTCAGTATTTAGTAAGTGGAATCGTCGGATCCAAATTTAATTATGAAATCGTTCGAGTTTGATTCCTTTCAATTTAGTTTAGTTTGATTCAATTCGAATCGGTTTTCAAATTTTGTACTATAATTAATTTTTTTAAAATTTACACAGTTGAATTAATTCAACTAATGATTTGTTCAATTTTAACTTTTACAAAATAATGTAGTCCAATCTTTTTTTTTTTTGCTACTCTTTCTTGAGTTTTTCATAGATTTGATTGTTAAAATTACAGAAAGAAAATGATAACGAGCTTACAATAATTAAAAGTGAAGTTATCGAGCTTCAATTCAATTTCTTTATGATGATTGAAACAGCACTACGATAGAATAACAAATTTGGATAAAACTTATGTTAATTTGATTAAGTTTGGCTAGACTGAAAATTAGAAATAAGAAAATCATATTTTTGGGTTTGAGCTAAATTAATTAGTTAGCATATTTATTTATTTTAAATAATTTGACTTATTTAAAATATATAAAATAAAAAATTTTAGGGAGATTCGATTCTTATTGGTTCTTAGCCCCTGTTTGGCCCCCATTACGTGGAAAAATTAATGGGTGAAATAGTATTTTTTTTTGAAAAATGAGTGGTTGAAAAAAAATGAAAAAATTTCTATTTACATGTAATATTATTTTATGGAAGATTGTGATATTTTAACTTAATAAGAACCGCTCAATTCGATTCAGTTCGATTTAAGTCTAGTTCGAGAGTTTTGCCCGCCCTTATATTAATATTCTTAAAAAAATAGTTTAAACTAAAATTTAACTTAATTTAGTTAAATATTAAGGGGCTGTCTGGCACAACTTATAAGTAATTTTCTGATCGTTGCTAAGGGATTTTCCGACCGTTAGGGCTGTAACTTTTGACTGCCCATCTCTATGGTGGGACCCGCCGTTTGACTCAACAGTCAAAAAAATGCTGAAAATCCAATGGAAAATCTGTGCCAGATAGCCGCTAAAATTATCTTAGTTGAAGGATTTATTTGATACAAACTCATTTTAGAGTTAAGTACCCTATGAATTACCAAAATAAGCAAATTTTTTATAAGATATAGTAACTTTTTTCTCGCTTTATCAAACATGTAACATAAAGTTTTCAATTATTAAATCATTTTTTCAATGGAATCGATTGATTTACCCAATATCAATAGAGCTCTTGATATTTTCTTAATTACACCGGATCGACCATAAAAACAAAGAATCGAACGAAAAAGACCGATTCAATTGTTGCTCAAAACCATAGTAGTCAAGAAAGGAAAAAGAAATTGACTACCCGGTGGTCAAATGATAAACTAATTTACCACATACTGATTTTTGAAGTATTTCAGCTTGTAATCCTTACAAAAGAAGGAAAAAAATTTATAAGAGGCAGCATTGTATTAAAAAAAAATATTCTTAACATGTAACGAGCCAATGTAAAATTAAAAAAAGTACAAAACGGTTTTACCATTTTCAATCATAGCGTGGAATTCAAATGACCTCACATTACGCCCTCGTTTGGTCCCATTCTTTTTCATTTTTGATTTATATATCTTATTTTTCAAACCACGTAATCTTTTATAAAATAATATTACACTTAAATTAAAAAAATTTCATTCTTTTTTAATCATATATTTAAAAAAAAAAAAAACACTTAAACACTAATACAAACATCAAAATTTGAAAAAAGAAAAAAAAAAAGGAAAATGGGGGCAAAATGATGGAACCTTTAGGATTAAGGTGTGAATCTCTCATTAATATTCAAGTTGTTTTGAGATTTGCTAAACTTCGGTGGAACTAGATTGTGATCATTTTGAATTTCGAATATTTAGGGGGTGTTTGATAGTCGTTTTTATGTAAAAATATATTTTAGAATAGTAAATTGATGTGAAATATGTAGTTGAAAAATAAGGAAAAGTTTTTGATTTGCATGTAATATTATTTTAATAAAGAATGTGTGGTTGAAAAGAAGAGAGAGAAAAATACATTTTGAAAAAAATGACTATCAAACGGGGCCCTATTATAATATTAAGTATATGTTTGGTTATGATTTTTCACTCAAAAAAAATCAATTTTTGACCGTTACTTTCTTAAATTAATCGTCATTTTTTACTTTTTTTTTCTTACAGGTGGGATTCATTATTTTTTCTAACGATTAAAACATCAATTCTTATAATCATTACTAAACAAGTTCTAAAAGCAGGAGCCTTTTAGATACATATGTGAAATTCTGATTAAAAATTAAATTAAATCAGATGAAGCTCAATCAAAATATAAGGTAATTATCCTAAGTCAACTATATCCATATCCCAACATTTAGACGGACAGTTCTCGTTAGATTTTGTTTAAAATTAGATTTTAAGTAACTTTGATAAAATTAATGAAATTTGATAATTAATAATCAATATTCTTTAGTTTTCTTTTTATATATTTTTTTAAAACTGGAATCAGAAGCTGAAACATTACAGTAGATATCTTTCCTGCGGCAAATTGCCCCAAACGTTCGACCCCTCTCCTCGTACCTATATATATGTTTCGCTCCTTCAAACGTCTACACCTACCGTAGAGTGATTCCTTCCCTTTTCTTCCTGCATCTCTTCTTGAAAATGGGCAATTGGAATCGGAGATATGTGCCCAAAAAGAAACACCGATATGATTATGAAGATCCGCCGCCTTCTCCTCCGAGGACCCACCAAACTCGATCACGGCATTCCGGTATATATACGTGTAGTGCGTCTGTGGGTTTTCCTTGGATTTATGTTTAAATTATTTTAAACTACGCGTTTGTCGTCCTGTTCTATTTCTCCTAATTCTTTGAGCTCCTTTGTATTCAATGGCAGCTGTTCAAGAAATGTTGTTTGGTTTACCATCTATGGGAAGGATTACCTTTAATTGAATTAGAAAATTATCCCTGCTTGGTTATACTAGAAATCAAAATTAGAATCAAGAACTATTATTTGGTTTAAATCATAATTGGAATAATCTATATTTTACCTTTGGGGGAGAAAAATTTTCAGAAATTTGGGGATCGAATTCTCTCCTTGTGCTCCTAGACTCTATTAGAGCACGATTGGAGTTGAGTTGATACTTCTGCCGCAATGGATTACTCGATTAAAGTCAAGTTGGTTTCTTTTTGCCCTACCAACTTCAGTTCAGATCGTTCAATTTGAGTTCTGTTCATTTCTTTCTATCAATTTAATCAAGTTAAGAAACCACTCAATTTAGATTCTAGTTGTGCAATTCATCAAAATACTGACTATAATTGAGATCTCTCAACAGGTTTGAGTTCATTTTTTCCCAACTCGACCTCAGTTGAGTCTCGACTAGGGCTGATTTGGGCAATTGCACAAAAATGTCATTTCTTTTTTGTCTTTCCATGTTGCTGTGAAGTCAAAGCCATAACTTCGAAGGTCGAGATTTTTGGTTAAGAATTTGTGTGCTGCATAGTGTGATATATTTTTTGCAATTGAAGAGAAAGCTGAAATATTTATTTCCAAGTGATTGATGCTTTGCAAGCACATGAATGGAAAAGGATAAAGGGAACTAAAGGAATCAAATGATAGTTAAATAAGTTAACGAGTTCTAATGCAACTTGTGCGTGAATTTTCTTTTAGAAATACACAGTTTTTGAAGGGTCTAAAACACGTAATGCCACTATATGTACATTGCATTCTTGTAACTTATATGACTGTAAGAATAGATGGTTTTTTAAGGTATTTTATATTGCATAAACAATGACAGCCTTAACAATACCACATGGTAACACGGAAATAAGATCATGCATAATGTGGTCTAGATTATTAAAACAGCTAATAATTTCTTTCCTTTTTACTATCATGATTTGGAATCTGACTATGGTTGTTTAGTTTTGTTTTTGGTTTTATTTCTTTGTTGATCGTCATCCAAGAAATGCACATAATTGTCTTCAGATAGTTTAACTTGCTGAAGCTTCTGTTCAAGAGAGTTGATGCATCTTTAGATACACAAGTTTTTTGCTTCGGAAGTGGAGGAACTTTACTATGGCATTATCATAATTTTGTCCTTCTGAGGAAGGAAAAAACTGGGATCAAGTTATTTCATACATAGTTGTGTTGGCAATGTACATACTCCAATCAACAAAGTGTTGCTATTTATTTTTCAGTTGTGCTAAATGTACTTCACAACTTACGAATTTGTTTACCTAATACATGATGTGGCAAAATTTGATCCCGTCAAAATCTCACCAACCAAATAAAAAAAAATCCTCGATTTCCTTTTGGCATTAATCCACAATACATAAGCTAACCATTTAAGTGGTGAAAGAGATTTTGACACTTTTAATTCAATTATCACCACCTCAACAGTTTGTAAAAGTATCTATAAATGGTGATGTACAGCAAGCTTTTTCCTTTATTTTGGGTTGATTGTTTCCTTCTGATGGAAAAAAGCTTTGGGTTATGTGAGGAAAACAATTATGGTGGCATGTGGCTATGTAGATGTGCCCTGGGACATAATTGAAATTCGCTAATGGGATGAATTGCGCCAACGAAAGATCAGTTGTTAAGAATTAGAGATTAGTTTTGACATTTTAACTCTTTCATTCCATATGTAAATAACAATATTGGATGCCCATGTACTCCCATGTTCCTCTTTTACTTAGGTCATTGCAGGATGCAATCATTTGAATTTTGGAGACGCGCAAGGTTTCCTTTTGAGATGCACCTCAAGGAGCCAAGTGTTATTACCATTCTAGGCTAGTACATTGAGCCCCTGTTTGAGCCCCATTCTTTAAAAATAATTTTTTTCTCAAATTTATTTTCAACCTCGAATTCTCCAAAAAATCAATATTAGAAAATCTATTATTACAAAAAACATTGCTCAGACAAACCCTGAGTTTTCTTACCAGTTACCTTCTGTGTGTAAAAGCATTGATTTTCACGTGTAGGCTTCTCTTTTTCTAATTTTTTATTTTTCTTCATGTGAATATGCTTGTGTAGTTGGCCGGCCACCAAAAAAAAAGGGAAGGAAAAGAATAATAGAGGAAAATTCTAATATGTAAGTAGTTGCAGTTTAATTATGTTAGTAGGCTCTTCTTTCTATGTGTACCTGTTGTTGAACTATATCTTTCTAGTTTTCCCTTTTAATTGCCACTGAAGATTGATTATATTTTCATTTTTTTATTCCGTCATACATCTGTGAAAAAATTGTGTCTTAATTTAGCAGGAAAAATGTGCTATGTGTTGGAAATCGTGAAATCTGATTTATCTTATTATCATTTCTCATTGAAGGATTCAAGCATGCTGGCGTGCCATCATGGGAAATAGACTACTGCAATTCAGTACGAGTTCCATGGCGCAAGATTTTGGCTTCCAAAAAATATATATGCTGTTATCCAAGTGTGGATGAGTGGGATGCTTCTGCTGGGGAAGAGGCATTAAACGATGCAAAAAAGCGATATTGGTCACATATCAATGGTCTTCTCTGTGATAATCCTTTGCCTAATCCAGATTTGTACATTGATGAAATTGATTGGAACTCATATATCGATCCTGAGCTGATATCTGATTTAGATCGGCAATTCTTTAATCCTGATAATGTTGACAAATTTGACAAGTTGGACACTATAAAAGAAGAGGGTGATACGGTCCTCGAGTGTGCCAAAGCAAAGGATGATAAAGACCAAACTCACGATGACAACCCATGGGAAAGAAATCTAGTAGAAGATACAGGAAATTTAATTGATATAAAGCAAGGATGGAATCAGTGGGATGATTCTATAAATTTGAAGAACGTAAACCCATGGGAGGAGAGCCACAGTCAACTTGAGGTTTCTTTAAAGGGCAATGCATGGACAGGTGAGAATGAGTCGTGGGGTTGGAACCCGGGGCCTAATGAAACCTGGCCGCCTGCAAATGTTGATTGTACAAGTGGCAATCATTGGAATTCTGGTACACAAATTGTGGATGCAAGACAAGGTGGGTGGGGACAGAAAGAAAATAGTTCTTCGTGTTGGAGGAGTGGGAATACCGGTGGTCAAGAATTAAGGAGCCCAGTTAATTGCGAAAATCCGAGGGAAGGCAGAATCTTTAAAGGTGGTGGATATTCCAGAGAGACGTCTTGGTGTGAAAATGGGAATGAATCCTGGGCTTGGAAGCAGTCGGAATATCAAAGTAACAATACAGATTATTGGGATTCCAGAAGATTGAGGAGAGGTGGAAGAGCCTTCAATGGTGGTTATCGGAAGAGGGAAAGTTCTCCACAGCATACAAGGTATAAAAGTTCTAGGTATGAAGGTGATTTCTGCAGAAATAGTCGTCAATGGTAAAAGAAAAATATTTAGAAGAATGAGGCTATAGTTGATTATAAATTCCTCGAAATCTTTTGGCTCAATGAGAGCTTTAGTGCTTGAAGCTTCTCCCTACTGCAGACTCTTGGATTCCTGTTTTGACCATTATTACTCTGTGGATTTACCTTTTTCCCCCACCTTGGGTTGTTTCTGAGGTCTTTTGGGTTTTTAAGAAGAAGCATTGAAGATTTGAGAGCTTTTTTACTCAACCTGATTACCTGAACGATATTAACTAAGTTGTCTGCAGTCAAGAATTGGAGTCTGATTTTGTCTACATTTTTGTTCACAGTTCGTTCTTTGTGCAGAAAAAGTATGGTTGGTTTTCTCATTTTTGTTGTTTAAAATTTTCTGTTTATCTCAGTTCAGGTTTTTAATGTTATCGTGTGCTGTCTATATAATGAGTTCAAACATGACAACGATGGTATTATAAAATCTGAATGCTAGTTTCTTTTTTAGTAGATTGTACATGCTTGGGCATTGCTGGCATATTTTCAAGCTATTCAAAGTGAAATGGAGGCTTAAATTGTTGAGGCCAAATAGATGAATGCTTAGGGAACAGAGAAATATGTTGTATGTATTGTAGTAACATGGGAGATATGTCTGATGTTTCCCCCTCAAAATCACTTATGAAATGGCAGGGGATTACATTGATGTCGATCAATATCTGGCTTTGTTTTGAGTCATCGTCCTAGGAGGTCGGGTTTTAAAACATTCGCCTTTTTTGTCACTTTCGGCGTAGAGACTAAGAAATCATCCTCTGCCAAAGACATTCAGTTTACGTAGGTAGCAAAATGAGAGAAGTAGAATCGAATGGCAGTTTCAAGCCTTTCAGATTGTTATAATGTAAACACAAATATTTCATTTGTGTTATTTATCCCGCACTTTTAATTTCGTTACAATAAAGGACTCCATCAATTGATCAGGAAAATAAGGGTGTGTTTTCTTTACCGTTTTCGGGCCGTTTTCTATTTTCGATTTTTCAAAACGGTAAAAACGTGCTCTCTTTCCTGTTTTCAAAAACGAAAAAAATTTGTGAAGAAAACACAAAAAGACAAATGTCGATTTGGGCGTTTTCAGTACAAAATTGAAAAAAATTGAAAACACGGGAAATGATTCCAAAATGGTAAAAAGAACGCATTTTTAATGATTTCAAAACAGGCACTCAGAATACAAAATCCAAAATGAATTCAAAACTTAAAACTACAAAATTGAAACACGAAGAGAACAACATTTTCAATGATTTCAAAACAGGCACTCAGAATACAAAATCCAAAATGAATTCAAAACTTAAAACTACAAAATTGAAACACGAAGAGAACAACATTTTCAATGATTTCAAAACAGGCACTCAGAATACAAAATCCAAAATGAATTCAAAACTTAAAACTACAAAATTGAAACACGAAGAGAACAACATTTTCAATGATTTCAAAACAGGCACTCAGAACACAAAACCCAAAATAAATTCAAAACTTAAAACTACGAAATTGAAACACGAATAGAACAACCCCTAAAATTTTCTCTTTTGACCAATTTTATAAAGGCAAAATTGTAAATTAACATTGTCCCACGATAAAAATTATATTAAAAAAAAAGAAAAAAAGAAAAAAGAAAGACCAGACAAGCACAATGCACCGAAAAAGTGTAAGTATGCGTAGAAGTTACAAATTATTTTCTGCAAAGAAGATGACAAAAACAAAAAAAAAAAAGATTCTCTTTATTTATTTAATTATTTTATTGTTGGACAATATTAAGTTACCCTTCAAAAATTGGTCAAAAGATGTCAAAATCTTATTTCTCTGGTTAACTTATGGTTGTTTCATCTATTTGTTTTTTTTACTGCAACGAAATTAAAGGTTTAAAATTGTGGTTTAGCAAAAGTGAAAATTTTGAATCTTGCAGCTCCAATTTTCCTAATTTTTGTTATTTTTTGATTAATTATACATCACAATTATTGTTTGATAGACAATATGATGCACTTCCAAAGTTGAGGATGTTGGAAAAAATTGAGTGAACGGGTCACTTTTGGCACAATTTTCGATGGACCTGTTGGTCCAATGTGGAATATCAAAGTTGATATGTGTTCTCCTCCGCAAGAACATCGTTTTCATGTATTTATTTGCAAAAAATGAAGCTCGAGTGAATGAGAAATTGAAACTCAAAGTTGGTCATTGGAAGTTGATTTTATGGGAAAAAATGCATTTATCCCACATAGGAAAATCAAGGAAACTCAAATCACTTTATATATGGCCATGCTTTGGAAAAGTGTAATCATGTGTAGCATAGAGGCTCTCTTCACGTGCGCGCACAAGGGAGGTGTAAATCGCGAATCGAAATGGCCTTCGAACCTTGAAATTGGGTGCGAGCGCGACCTGCGCACATGAATGTCGAACCAAACAAGGCAAAAAATGGCCCCATCGGTGAGACTACGTTTTGCCAATTTTATTTTATTTTATTTTTTTTTTTGCTTTCTCCAATGACTTTTGAGTTTCTAAACTGAAAAAATTCCAATGGACTCCAAATGGTCACAGTGTTAATGGGGAGTAACTCCAATGGACTCCCAAAGGTCACAGTGTTAAGGGGCAGTATGCCTATAAAAAGGCTCATTCTCCAGCAATCTAACACACTCGAAAATCTCACCTACATTCCTGCCTAAACAGTTTCTTCTTTTTTGCATTCGTTATTCAGTAAGGTCTTGTTCTTGTGGTGATATTGTTCGGATACTAGATCAGTTCGCCGGAGTAGGACCGCGGTGCTCGGATTCTGCTTATTACCGTTGTATCCTGGGAGACAGCCGCTAGAACTGAACCTCCAGCATCTACGGTAAGGGGGCGAAACTATTTGAAGGAAACTGTGCACGCACAGACCTCGGTTTGAAACCTGCTGTAGTTTGTGTTTTTTTCTACAGATTATTTTTGCATTACTATTTAATTCATGCAGTTTGTAATTCCATAGTGTGCAGCTTCCAGATTCATCGTTTACATTTTTAGCCTGCAGTTAACTTATATTTCTAATTTTGTGTTGCTAAACAATTTTTTCAGCCGTTGGAAAATTCTGAAACAGAATTTTTTTTATAAATTGAAATCGTTTGCCTTGTGGTTATTAATTTCAATAGTCAGCTACTGTAATTGAATAAAACTTATACAATTGGTTTCATCTACTAGCGATTTGTTTTCCTACAGAGGACTCGCTTGGTAAAATCACAATAATAAGCTCAAAACTAGTATGAATTACAAGTCAAGTTGTAGGGCAACTGAACTCGAAGCGAAGGGATAAATTCAACCATTTTGCTTAGCCTTCGTTTGAGAAGAATTTGTAAACAATTTAATTTACAAATAGATAGAATTAATTGAGTATAAGTGAATAGTACATGTGAGTTAAATGAGAAAAAAAATTGTCAAATAGAGATTTAATTAGATCATAAATATCAAGTACTGATACTTAACTTAATTTATCTTAAGCACCAATGCTAATCACGTTAATTGATTAATGAATAACAAATTTCATTCAAATATTGAAATTTTGTATATATTCACCAATGAATTAATGAGCCACACTTAGCATAAACTAATTTTATGCTTAATAAATCATTTCTATGGTCAAATAAGTCTCTCTTGTAGTATGTGTGCAAAAATTCTTATTTTTGCTTGATAAAGTAAAATATTAATTACTTTTCATGATTTTTTATTATTGAATTTATTTTTCTCTTATTGAACAAGTAACACAAAGTTTCAGTCTTCTTAAGTGCAAAAGGTTTTACTATGTTAAAATCGATTGAATCAAGTCTAAAAATCGATTGAAGAAGTAGGGCTCATGGGGCTTGTTTGGGCCTGATTTTTTCGTCCAAAAAATTGATTTTTTGACCGTTATTTCACTATTCCAGCCGTCATATTTGACTTCTTCTCTCACAGGTGGATCCCACTTTTTTCCTAACGGTTAAAAAATCAATTCTCAAAATCACTTCCAAACAGGCTCATAATTTTAATTTATTGTGATGAACCGAACAAGATGATTGGAGAGATAAAGGACAAACATATCAAATGTTACATTTTTCTTAGATAAATTTATCCATGCATTTTCGATGGTTTACAAATGTGTCATTCATGTTCTCAACATCTTACATTGTTTACTCAAATGTACCAACTCAATGGAAACTTCTAATTGTCTAATAAAACGATAAAAATTATTCCATTGGTACATGATAAATGATTAGTGAATATAATTGGACGAAATAATCTCCCTCCAGAAATAATTGTTCAAATTACAATCGTACAATCATCGTTTTAGAAGTCTACAATGTGATTTTTTGAATGGAAGAGATTAATTTTGACATTTCATCGAGATATTTTTAGTCGAGTTGAAGCATTGTAACTATAATGAAAAATTTGGGACAAGAATACAAATGAAGGTTGAGATTTGAGAACATAGATAATTATCACACTTAAAGAAATGTGGGGAGTCAAGAGGATTAACCCTTTTCCTGGCAAGCCCTCTGAAGTTTACAACAACTGTGGCAAATCTTTATCTGGAAAGGGCTTGAGGAACCTTAAAATGCCACCCCAACCCCCACCGCCCCTCACCAAGCCCCATAAGCCCTACTTCTTCTACGGTCACCGGAAGCCCACTCAGAACCGCCCCACAGTGCGTGGCGGCCTGTTCTCAAACCGCCAATCACTCAATCCAAAAAAATTAAGCTTCCCCACCACCTCCACCGAGCCCTTTGACCTCCAAAAGTGGGACCCAGATGACAAAAATAACCAGGGAGCACGATATACAAAGGACCCGTCAGAACAATTCTTCTCCGTGGCCAAAAATCTTTCCCCCATTGCTAGATACATAGTGGATGCTTTCAGGAAACACAGGCAGTGGGGGCCTCCACTAGTGGAGGAGCTCAATAGGTTGCGCCGTGTCACGCCTAAGCTTGTGACGGAGGTTTTGAAGTTTCCCAATGTTGATCCTAGACTCTCTTCTAAATTCTTTCATTGGGCTGGTATGAAGAAACTTAAAGCTACTACCTTTTATCCTTGGATGCATGTGTGTTTGAATCTTTCTTTTTGATACCCAGTTCGTGTACTGTACATGTGGAAAATTGCTTTTGCTATAACTTCATACATAATTTTAATCCGTTCGCTTGTTATACATTCTGAAATGCTTGTGGACTGTCACTATAAGATATATACAAGAAAGATTATATACTGCTTATGTTATTGCGAATTAACCTGTGCAATTCTAGAAGACATGATTGCATAAAAAATAAAATAAAATTCAAGTATTCACTTAAAGCGAATACACACTCGCATGCTGACATCTCTCTTGCACTTCTTTTGTCGTTCAGCGAAGCACTAAAAGGAATCGTTTTGGCTGTTTTCTTATGTTTATATTGATGTTTGCCTGCTTGTTATTGTCATTCTTAAATGTGGGTCAAGATTTTCTTGTTATGGAATTTGGTGTTTGATTAACAAAGCAAGAACCCTTTTTGAGTTTTGGATACTTTTAGTGAGTGTAATTATGGAATGCTAGCGACAAGATTCATTACTTGCTGTTTTTCTTTTTTGAGGGGGGAAAAAAAGTTGGAAGAATGGGTCCTTTCTTACATGGCATGGACATGTATTTTGACAGATGATATATTGCAGTATGATTTAATCTGCATGAAAAACGGTGAAACGTGTACGTGATTTTTATTTTCAATTAGGAGGGTTTTATTACTTTGAAGCTGCAATAATGAAATAAAATTAAACTTGCAAGTTATGACGCATTACCATGTCATGAGCATTGAAACGAGAGTGAGCAGTTGTAGATAGTATTCTGTGGGTTTATTGTACTTCCTATTCTGTTTATTTTCAACCATTTACTTATTGTTTGAATTTTGACTGATAGGTAAGCAGAAGGGGTACAGGCATGATTTTGCGTGTTACAATGCATTTGCCTATTTTTTGAATAGGGTGAATCAGTTTCGGGCTGCTGATCAGGTGCCTGAGTTAATGCATATGCAAGGGAAACCGCCCAGTGAGAAGCAGTTTGAAATCTTGATCAGGATGCATGCAGATGAAAACAGGGGTCTGAGGGTGTACTACGTGTATGAGAAAATGAAGAAATTCGGGGTGAAGCCAAGAGTCTTTCTGTATAATAGAATAATGGATGCCTTAGTTAAGACCGATCATCTAGATTTAGCCATCTCTGTTTATAATGATTTCAAGGAGGATGGGTTGGTTGAAGAGAGCGTCACTTTTATGATTTTGATAAAGGGCTTGTGTAAAGCAGGACGGATGGATGAAGTGTTTGATCTTTTAGGTCGGATGAGGAATAATCTGTGCAAACCAGATGTGTTTGCTTACACAGCAATGGTAAAGGTGTTGGTTTCAGAGGGAAATCTGGAAAGTTGTTTGAGGGTTTGGGAGGAAATGCAGAGGGATGGGGTTCATCCTGATGTCATGGCTTATTCCACTTTAATCATGGCATTATGTGAAGGGAACCGGGTTGATAAAGGTTATGAATTGTTTAAGGAAATGAAAGTGAGGAAGTATTTGATAGATAGAGCTATTTATGGGTCTTTGATTGAAGCGTACGTGGCAGATCAGAAGGTTGGTTCGGCTTGTGATTTGCTAAAAGATTTGATGGACTCAGGATACAGGGCTGATTTGTCAATATGGACCATGTTATGAGTAAAAAAGGGGATACAAAATGGGTTACAAAATCAACAAGTGGCGGCCATTGATTGGAGGCCGCCCCTCCAATAGGGGGCACCACTTGTTGATTTTGTGACTCATTTTGTACATGATTTAGTACAAGTAGAATAATCCTTGTCAATATATAACTCCCTTATCAAAGGTCTATGCAGCGTGCAACAGGTTGACAGGGCTTATAAACTTCTCCAAGTAACAATTCAAGAGGATCTCCAGCCAGATTTTTCTACTATGAATCCTATCTTGGTGTCTTATGCAGAGTCAAAAAGAATGGATGAATTTTGTACATTGCTTGCACAAATGCAGAAATTGGGTTATTGTGTGATTGATGATCTGTCGAAGTTCTTCTCTTTTATGGTGGAGAAGGATGACAGAGTAACACTGGCTTTAGAAGTGTTTGAATACTTGAAAAAGAAAAACTATCGTACTGTTTCAGTTTACAATATATTTATGGAGTCTCTGCTCAAGAATGGTGAAGTGAACAAGGCATTAGAACTGTTTCGTGAGCTCAATGATTCAGACTTGGTTCCTGACTCGATAACTTACAGTAATGCTATTCTATGTTATGTTGAAGCTGGAAATATACATGAAGCCTGCACGTGTTACAACAGGATTAAAGAATCCTCTTCAATTCCTTCAATTGATGCCTATTATTCTCTTGGTAAAGGCCTTTCCATATTAGGAGAAGTAGATGCGGTCGTAGAACTTGTTCGTGACTGTTTAGCCCATGTTACAAGTGGTCCGATGGAATTCAAGTACACCCTCACAATTATCCATGTCTGCAAATTAAATAACGCAGGAAAGTTAATTGATGTTGTCAATGAAATGGTGGATCAGGGTTGCCCTCCAAACAGTGTTATATATGCAGCTATCATCTATGGCATGTGCAAGCATGGAACAATTGAAGAGGCAAGGAAAGTATTTGCACGTATGAGGGAGCTCAAATTCCTAAGTGAAGCGGATGAAATAGTCTATGATGAGATACTTGTAGACCACATGAAAAAGAAGACGGCAGATTTGGTATTGTCTGGGCTGAAATTTTTTGGTCTGGAATCAAAATTAAAGGCAAAGGGCTGTACAGTCCTGTCAAGTTGAGAATGTAAAGAGTAAAGAGGTAAGTAACCTATCAACCTGTTAACTCTTAATATTCACACTCGTCAACTTACAGAAAAACTTGATAACAAAAAATCTGAGTCACGCTTCAACCAGACTAACTGATCTTGAGTTTAGTTCATTTACGACTTGATCCCTTGATGCGGAACTTGCTTTAGTATCGTGGATGAAGTTATTTCATGATTAAATTCAATTAAGTCGTACTTCTATAGATATTGATTAAATAAAAACCACCAGTACATAGTTTTGAATATGTAGTTTCAGGGAAAAAAGTAAAGTTAAAATTTGAATACACGAGATGTTTATTAGTAAACTAATGTCTGCATGACAAGATTCGTACTTTGTTTTTGAAGAATTAAGTTGATGAGATTTGTACTTAAAATTATGTGATTCTTTTAAACGGAGAACAACAATTGACATGGTTCTTTTACGCAGTAGTTTGACTAAAAGAGAGCACCTCTCTCTGAAAATTAGGATCTTGGAAAAGCCACAACTTGCCTGATCTTGTCTAGTAAATTGTGTTTGCTTACAGATTGTTTTGTAAGTTTAGTCATGTTAACATCCTAAACGGATCATTGATGGCAGTACTGAGGAGTCAGAAGGCCAACATTTCCTCTATTGATTTGCTGGAAAATGAGAGAACGATTGGTGAACTACTTACCATATGAGACTTTTGCAATATTGGATATGCTTGGACTGTGAAAGCTTATTGAAAATGCATACATCTGGGGTTCAGTTTTCTCCTTTGTGGGGTCTGTAAATATGACATGATGTTCATAAGTTGCAGATTTTTCATTTTCATGCGCAGCTTAAGTGCAGCAATGGGATTGGTGAACCTTTACAGGTGCAGCGGAGCTTTAGGGAGTTCCTTTTCTTGTTCTGAAGTTTGGATATAGAAAGAATTGAATAGAATCGTGCTGCATCATCATACACATGGTACGTGAAAATTATTTGAAAGCTGTAATTGCAATAAACTGCTGTCTAGACTCTTAAAAGAAGTTGTGCAAGTGCGTCCTTAGTGGTGAAAAGTTCTGCTCGGAGCTAGTTTTGCTTCATATCAACATGTCGCTTCACCTAGAGTTACATTTTATCTCTGCTTGGAGTAGAATAACCTGGAACCCCTATTCCACACCCCAAGGGATTCATATCTTATCTGTCATTTTTACTATCATGTGAGAAGGGTTGCTAAAAACCGGCACGCTCTCATCATAATTCTTTCCCATGTGGATTATTCGATATGTATCCGAGAGCTGGGTGGAATTTGATCTATTTTCTTGAAAAAGCTAAATGAATTGCATCTTAATCAAGGCAAGTCCTTGAGGCATATTGTTTCTGGAGATAATTTCAGGGTTTTGGAGACCATCATATAGGAATCATTATGTAAGAGGGATGTGATTGCTTTTGTTGAGTTTGAGTTGCAGTTCTGAATGGGATTATGTTGATGGGCAATCATAGGGGACTGATACTGGCTAACGAGTATTTTAAAAGCAAATTCATGGTGAAAATTTCAGAAAATTCTGTTAAGTTTGTCTTCTTGTCTGCAGTTTCATTTGTTGTTTCAATGATATTCTGCAGCTTGCAATGCTTCCAAAACGCCTTTATCATGTGATAACTCTGAACTGGTATTTATCTGATCTGGTCATTATCACAACATTAGGCTTCATTCAATTGGCCCGGTCTATATGCAATTTCTTCTCTTCGCTGGCTCATTATTAAGTTAACAAGCTCTTTCAGTGATTCTGTGTATTGCAGTCCCTCCTTAGATCTTCGTTCTGTGATGGAAATATGTAGTAAAATTATAGTCATTCACATGAGCAACTGTGATCTGCAATTATATCTTTCTTACTGTTAACACATCACCTGGAAGTCAAGGCTATGGCATGGGCATCTCGTTGCCCCATTCCAATGCCTTTGGTTGTATATGCCTGTGATGGGTGGCTTCAGCAGAGAGGGAGGCAAGGCAGTGTTGGTTTACTTGATGGTAACGTTGTTGGATGGAATTAGCCTAAATGTATGGGGACAGAAGGAAAGGGAAGGTCGAGGGCATACTAACCGAACTTAGCTGAACACAGCTAGTAGACTACATAAGTGAGAGTTTTTGGGTGGATTTGCTGACAAGAAAAGCAACTGAATGGAGGCTGTTACTTGGGCTCTTGTATGAGCAACTTCAGCCTCGGTGGACGGTTATTATGGCCAGATGGCTTTTGTTTGTTGGCGAGGACGGTTATTATGGCCAGATGGCTTTTGTTTGTTGGTGAGGGTGTCAACTATTTATATTCGGTTATGCTACATGTACATCACGAGTCAAGATTTGTTGTCCAATTTTACCGTACATTTAATTAATTCTTGATATATCACCAATAATTAATATGTTATCTCAAAATTAACCTCATTAAGTCTTCCATCCTTAACCGAATTCCTTATATTGAGAGCAATGAAAGCTGGGTTTTTCCGTATATGCTTTGTTCTATCTTCCTTCATGTTGTACTTTGAAACTATTGTTAAATTTCATTTCTAGTGAGACGTAGGCTGACTGAATGTTATATTGCAGCGGTGGCTGAATAATTCGTACTTTTGGCCATGTGACACTTCTCATGATACGGATGCGACATATGAAATGCTGTTTAATGATAATAGATTAAGAATTTGCCCAATTAAATTCCAATTGAACTATACAACTACAATGATCTGGCAGATCAATGCTAGAAATCTGTACATAATCCAATTATCATAATCTGGCTGATCAATGCTAGAAATCTCTACATAATCCAATTATCAGCATATCTAAATCGTCGAGTTCTAGAGCCAGAAATCCCATTCCTCGACCCTGGACTTTTCTCTCTCTCTCGTTCTCTATAAAAATATACACTTCCGCTTGGGTAATGATCGGGAACATCTAATTATAGAAACACAAACGAATCCCAGCTGCTGATCTGCTTGCTTAGATCCTTCCAAATCCTCTTTATCCCGAAAGAGGAAAATCCCAGTTTCTCCAGTTGTTTCATATTAGAAAGAAAAAAGCAGCAATCATGCAGGAGACTTATGCTTCAATCATAAGGTGGTCGTCATCCATGATTGGGGGAGACAATGGCGGGACAGCTGGTTCGTGAGGTACAAATGGAATAATTTCAAGAGTTCTTCTAGCTGTCGCCTGAGACTCTATGTTCCTACCTATCTTCCTCGATGAAAATGATTCAGAACCAGAAGTCGTCCTTGAGGAATTGCTGCTGCCAATGGATGCTAAAAACTTGTCCTTGGAGAGAGATCCTTGAGCGGATGCAATGACATCACCAAATACGCCAGACTCCCTCAAACCTTGGATGATGGTCTGAAACACAAGCAAGATGAAATGCCAGTTAAATGGAAGATTGACCAAACTGCTGAGTGCAAGTAAAGCTTACCATGGGAGCATATATGCGAGCTAAAATTCCCTTCCTCAGCAATTTCAAATTGACAGTTCTATCAGTCCATACAACATGCTCTCGATACCTGTTGAGAAAAAGAAATCAATTTTGTTCCATAAGAACAATACAGGAATCCAAGGATTTCATAACCATAAATATGTTTGTAAGCCCTCAACAATTCATGTACGGCAGAGTGTAACAAGAAAAAAAATTCAGCATTTCCAACAACTTGAACTTTACCAGTTTAACATCTCCTCTTCTGTGGCAGTTGAAGCAATTATAAATGCCTATAATTAAATCATAAAAACTTGTCAGCATGAACACCAAACTGAAGACCATAGAAATGAATCTATGTAAATTTAAATATATGAAAATTAATATTCATACAACATGGTGACGAGCATAAAAACTCAGCGCATGGATACAATTCAAATGAAATATTCCTTCTATCAGGTGGCTTGCTCCTCAGCCTATGTATATTAGCAGCTGTCGTTCCCCTTCCCAAGGGATTTTTAATCATGAGCAGGTTTGGGAACCTACATATACAAACTATAGAAAGGACCTTTCCTATAATGAATCATCCATTTGATCATCATAGATATTTTGAAAGAACTCAACTGAACAATCTGATCAAAGTTCAGAAAACAACTTTTACTAACGGTCCCAAAAACATTTCAAAACCAACCTCAAATATAGACAAATTATAAAATCTATTTAAATCTTCCATAAGCTTTTTCTCTGGAAGTGGAGGGAGCTGTCTATGATTTGGAAGGTAGGATTGATTAAATCTTAAATTCAAGGAAGCGTGTCAAATAGACCAGCCCATGACGCAAAATGGCAAGAACCCAAGAGTAGCAGCAGCACATGTAAAGTTCCTATTAGTGTGAACTCAAGACACATTTCACATGTGAACATCGTCCAAAGTCCAAATATCTATTTTCAAAGAGCCACTAAATAATTAAGAATTCTGATGCATCACTTGCATGCTTATTTACCAACAACTCATCTACAGTTTTATTTCAGACGCAAACTAAGCTAAAATAAAAGAAAACTGTAAGAAATTACATTCATGCAGTAAATAAGTGCATTAAGAGGGATCAAATGACCTTCACATGTCTACACTGTAATTCAAAAGTAAACAAATTCAAAAGAACCTTATTATTGAAAGAGAGTACAAAAATCACTGAAAGATCATTATTGCAACTTCAAATTTATCAAAATATGCGCATGGTCGGGAAACATTATAATTTCCTTAAATTTAGTAGTCAAAGTCAAACATTAATTTTAACAGCACATTTCGTAGGACGCATAACTACCATCCATTCATCCATCATCACATTATAATTTCAGCAACTTAAGATTTTATCCAAATAAGCATTAACTCGTAGTTTTTATTTTAGTTACAAGAAAGAAATGCCTATTTAACATTTCATAAAAACAACTGTTTATATAATTCCGAAGTAAATGATTTAATCAGTGTTCCTCGAGTGTTTCTGAGCAAATAAAACTTGTCAGATTTAAAAGACAATCTCATCCCAGTATTTTGAATTTCAAGGTAATTATTTTATTAAGATAGCATTCTTTGCATCCATATTGCAATTTTTATTTATTTATTTTATTTATTTTTATTTTATTTTATTTTATTTTTTTTGTTTAGTAGTCATAAATTGGATAACAACTAATCAATCAGACACATTAATAATGGAGTGATTTCCTAAACTTGCACATCATATAAAAACCAAACGCACTTATGAATTCCTTGGCACGCAAGTTTCACTTAAGGAGGCTTCAACCTAGGAAAAATGGATGTCCTTAGTGCCAACACTATCTAGAGAATAGATATACCAATAAAAATGCATGTTCACAAAGACTCACAGATCTATCGAACTCCAACATAAAGCATCGCTTGACATCCTCCTTTGTAGGTTTACAACCACAACGATCCCGCCTAGAAGTCAAATCAGAAAACTTGGAATATGTGTAATGTAAAACCGCAGCCTCCTCCAATTTGATCTCGCTGTCAAACAGTATGTGAAAACATGTAAAAGCCTATTGAACAGAATACAAATGTGTGGTCCAAAACAAGAAAACAGAAAGATGGTAGATCATATGTGGATCATAAACAACAAAGAAATACACTCAATACTTCAAAATTGCATACAACAACTGTGTGCACAAATATAGAAACTTACTTCGGAGTTTTCATGTAATTGTGCCACCTGTGTGCACCATTGGGACGAAGATGGTCTTGGACTCGAGCAGCTGATTTCCCATTTCCATAGGTCAAGAAGTAGTTCGGATTGCCACGGGTTGCCTCCTTATACATGCCAAAATAAGTGTCCTTCATTAAATGATCATAGTTCTTCTTAAACATCGATATCTGTATGACACATACAAAAGAAATGAAAATAAATCAGTTCTAGCAAATCAATCCTCAAGTCAGTGAAAATATCATGGTCTGAAGAGGCTCTCTGCCAAAAATATTTCTAAAACAGTCCAAAATGTACTTGTTGAAACAGGTTTTGTGGTGGGGTAGGGGATAAAGAATTGAAAGAACTACCATGCATTAAGGCAAAAAAATAAACATTGACATTATTTCAGCTATATTTACATTATAGTCCATAAATTCCTAAACTTGCAATATTTATAAGCCAATAAAAAATTGTGTAACTCCTCAGGTGAACTGTGACAAGAAAATCGAGTAAATCTAGAAACTAGAAGTTGAAAATTTACCTCCGTGAAAGGTTCCTTGATGTCATCTCGTTCAATGCTGCTCTCCTGGGGGAAAAAATGGAGAGGGGGTCAGCATGGTGAAACTTGAGAAGAGCACCGAATGTCTTTTCTTTTCCAATTTGGTTTTGAAAGTTAAGCTGGATAGTTTGAATTGTTCCAAGAATACAGTGAGCACAAAAAGAAACAGTTTGTCTCCCCCACCCACACTGAAACAAAGAGATGCCAAATTACTTACATAATTGGGAAAGATAACCATGTCCACATTCCCAGGCACGTCAATTAGCAATTGCCTCAAAGAATACTCCCGAGCACCAGCTGGATGTAACAATTCATCAGTGTCTAGATGAATTATCCATTCAGCGCCAGCATCCTAGAATTATAGTACACAAAATATTTGATTAACTCTATAAGAAAAAATGGTACATTTCAGCTACACTTGTAATAATCCATACCCTTGCCATGACAATTGCGATCTCCATGTTGAGCGATTGCTTCACAAAAAGCTCATAATTGCAAGGCTTGTAAAAGAAACTTGACAGCCATGTTTCATTCCAGATCCGACTGAAGCATCAGGGATAAAAAGGTGTAAGAGAATAATAACCACAGCTAATATATCATACAAAGATTTCTGTAACTTTAGAGACCAATGTATTAATTCCAGAGAGATTATGGTAAGATATAGGAAGAAAGATAATTGTCGGTTTATGATTTTAAAAAATGTTAAAATGTATCCATTGAAACATTAGTTGGCTTTGTCAATTTCATATAATTTATCTATGCAGTCAAGCAAGCTCCAGATACATATCAGAAGTGATTGACCTCTTAGCTTGCTGCTCTTCCAGCTCTCTGGTTCTGTATATTACTTTCACTCCCTGCAAAAGATAACCAAATTAATAATACCCATGGGTTCTGAACGAAAATATTATACCGTTAAACACGGAATAACATAATCATCAGATTGAAGTGACAGTTAACACGAATCAAGAAAAGATATCAGCAAGATAAGTTATCAGATCATCAGGTCCCTGCCAGACATGAACTTGGAGAAAAATAGATGGGGTGAGTTTGGGCAGGAGGCAAGACTGGTAAATGGCAATTGACATAAACTGGTCATAATTTGTAGATGAGTTCGAGTTCATCACTGATGTTCATGAAGACAAAATACTGGCAACTACCATCCCACTTATCTAAGAGACGAAACACCAAACCGAAAGTCACCTAAGACTCTTAAGACTTGACAAAAGAAGCTCCATTCAACTTCAAATCACTTGGTAATGTGTAAAGAGTCAACTAATGTAGGGTACGTTGAACTTTAAGTTCCTAAAGGATTAGCAGAATGATATAACACTTTGAATTTCGGAATTAGCACTGGGTTCTTATATTATAAAAAAGAAAAAAAAAATCAGGCAACCGTCCAACAAATTGCCTTTTGAAGATACTGCTTCAACCTAAGACCAGATAGTTTTCAAGTCAAAGTAATCCCACAATAACGGCTTATTCAGCATTTTATAGAGGTCAAAGTTATCAAAATCACCCTACAAAAACGGCTTATTCAGCATTCTATTTGAGGTCAAACTTATCCATTTTATATTATACATTACCAGATTTCAGTACTTCTTCAGGAATATAATCGCCCGTTGTCAGCTTATGTCAACTAATTGGAAAGTTTCTCAATAAGAATACTGCAGCCTATTTAACTTATGTAACCATAAACTATTGATACAGCTGAAATCAAGTTACATTGAGGGATCTGGTTACAAGAAGCTACAAAAAAGTCATGACATTATATTTAACTTCTGGTGTACATAAAACAATTGGTCTTTTATGTGTTCTTTACTTATAAAGAAGCAACTCGTAACTGTTTAGTTTTTTATTAGTCACACCTAGTGACCTTTTCAACTGACCAAAGCCCAAATATCAATACTGTCCTCTGATCACATTTCTTTGTAGAGCCATCTCTTTACTGTGTTTAAAGGACAGGTAATGAGTTTTTCTTTATTCCTTTAGTTATAAGTAAGAAAACACGAGACTATTTTACAATGCAGTGTTTATGCAGATTAAATTTTGACCCTCCAATGTATAAATACTCTTACAAAGCAACAAAAGAAAATGGCTAGCAGGATACAAACTCACAGGAATGGATTCAAGGACTTTGGACACAGCAGGAGATGCAGCCTTCCCTTCAACAAAGAGAAAAAAGGTTGACACCCCAATAACTTTATGATAGAACATCCATGGCAAAATCTGCTCTAAGCCAGCAGACGTACTTGTTGTAATACATATCTGCACATAATAGAGGAAGATGGTAAGGACATCACCAATCGTTTATGCTGATGCATTATCTATTAGGAAACGAATTTATAATGAAATCAATTATGGAATGTGAAGAACTAGAGTGAATAACAAGTGCAGTTGGATTTTGGTGGGAAAATCACTATGAGAAAAGGACATCTATCATGTATTATGTGGTTGGATGTAGCTGTTCATTGGTATAAGATAATCTGCACTGGAGATAAGTATATTCTGCCAACATTTCAATTCAATAATCAATGTGAATCAAAATCGAAGCCAATTTTCTTCATGGATAATTCTCAACTCAATGATCATTTATTATTGCCATTATCTCATTTTCAATTTGAAGATAGGCTTCATATAACATAAACTTTAAAAGAGACCAAATGGCATGAAAGAAATGTGATACCAGAGCCATCTGTTTCAAAAGCTGAAAAGCCCTATTATTTCCAGGATTTATGAAGGCATGTACCAATAGTAACAGTGATTGTCTTGTTTAAAAATCTCTACCTCTGTGTACTCGGAAAATATATAGAACTTCCAGTTCTTGGGAAAGAAGTGTGCCATCTTTCAAAAGATTTACTTTCAAAATGCAGCGATCTTTCAATAGATTTACTCTGCACTTTACATGTGACTATAAAATTAATTATCTGATAAATAAAAAATATTCCCCAAAAAATGTCCAAAAATCGAAGTCACTGAAATAAGTCTAACCGATTGAATTCCTTGTTTTCTCTGAAAATCCAGAAACGCCATTATATATTAAAAATAATAATAATAATAATAAATAAATAAATGAAAAAGTGGATTTCAGCTTAGTTTTCTTGAAACAAGATGCAAGACCCTCAAAAACTTAAATCACACAAACAAACAAAATCCAAATGACATTAACAAAGATCACAAAACCCGAAGAACAGACCAAACCCAAAAAACTTACAAAAAAGGGATAAAACAACAAAACAAAAATTAGACCTTGGGCTTCAGATCCGAATCGAATTTAAATTTCCAGTCTCTGTAGTAAGGAAATGACGCCGTATTGGAGTGTCCCAACAGCATAGAACAATCAAAGGAATGCGAAGATGAGTATCCTCCAGTGGAAAGAGGGGAAGAGTCCATGCCGGGGAACTTGTGGGACTCATCGGGCGACCATCGGGAGATGGGATCGTCGACGCCACCGCCTCGCCACTGAAGAAAGAAAGCGAAGAGAGAAAGCGATAAAGGGAGAATGGTCAGGAGGAGGAGAAGCTTCACAATGAAGAAGTGATTGTTGGCTGCAGAAGACGGTGGTTGCGGCCTCAGCGAGGTATGCAGACCCGCCATTGGACTGTTGCAAAATCAAGAAAATGGGCCAGCTGTGGTGGAGTGGACCTCCTTTTCTAGTGTTTATATTGTGCTGTTACTTTGGGGCGGAAATTATAATTTCTCAGAAAATAAAGGACTTATGAGCAATTTTTAAGGTGGTCCGAAAAGTTCGGATACTGCCGTTTTAAATTGGCATAGGTTTCAAATGTATATGTCTCTTTAATTTTTGGAAATCATAAATTCCATTTTTAAGGTTTTTTTAGAAAATCATGAGTTGAAAGAGAAAAAAATATATTGTTGAAGAAAGGGTCTTATGGTGCATTTAATATCAATTGATGTGACTAAAATGCTAGAATTATTAATTAGCCCACAATGCCACACCTAGCCTCAAAAATCAAAGAGATTAAGCCACGTTTAATATCGATTAATATATATTTTTTAATTTAAATCCAAAGCAATAATTCATTTCAGTCACATATTGTATGAGTTTCATAACTTTTCAACTACACATCTTATCGTTTTTTATAAAAATTTATTAAAAATTTGATTTTAGTTATCATCAAATAGGGGTTAAGCCAGTGTTTGAGGCCCATTTTTTCAAAAATTCATTTTCAAGCATATATTTTTTAATAAAATAATTTTTTACATTAGTCAAATTTTTTTTTTAGTCACACATTTTTCAAAAGTTCACTATTTCAAAAATATATATTTTTTCCCCAAAACGGGGCTCAAATAAGGCAAAAGAAACAAAAGTAAATTTTAGCTTTTGTTTGGGAGGTGTTTAAATTTAGAACACTTTGATTTTTATACTTAATTCATTTCGTAAAATTGACAAGTAGTACTATTTGTCCTTAATTTATTTATATCGATGAACGATTTAAACGGTAATTAGAAGAAGGATTCTATTACACTTGAGTCTCTCTTTTCAAGAATGTAGTTCAGGATCAACTTCTCTTTTATAGGGTTTTGTTTCAACCATTTTTTTTTTTGGCTCAACTTCTTCTTCTCAAAGTGAAATCTAAAGGTCCAATGAGTTGATAGACGTATTATAGAGATTATTAGCATTTTATGACGTTGTGTCAAATCTCAAAACACACACACATATAATGAATATTATGATTTATGGGTAATATTGGGCAAGCATTGTGTTAAACTTAAAAAATATTATGAGATTTGACACAACGTCATAAAATGCTAATCGTCAAGAATCCATCAAAATTTAAATAAAACCTTATTCGAGAATTGTCATCTCTCACTTTAGATCACATTGTTATTTCTAAAAGGGGTGCAAAGTGATAAAATGATAGTCCTCCAAAGTCCATCAAAATCGTGATTTTCTTTTTTAACTCTCTGCGTACCATACAAGAGTTGTTAGGATCTAGTTTTTCACCCTTTTTTTTCTTTCTTTTATTTTGGAAGAATCGGGAAAAAAAGGATAATAATAATTAAAAAAAATAAATCGCTCTGCATTAAAATAGGTCTATGATTTGTTAAAATGTTCCATTTCTCGTCTTCTTAATCACTTGTCTCTCCTTTGTAAGTTTCCTCATCGAACCTTCGTTTTTTCCCATAAATTTGTTATACGCTCTTCATTTCAGTAGCCAAAAAAGTGAAGTTTTCTTGGATTTTTTGTTGCTGCTATTATTTCTTATCCAATTTATCCGTTTTCTTCAGGGAATATAATTTTGATATATTTTCTTCGTGTTTGCGGAATAAAAGTTGTGATCTTTGATTCGGGGGCAAGTCGAAAATGAATGCTTGTGTGTTGAGATTGCTTTTTGGCTTTTTGCTCGTTGAAAAGAGAATATTTTTAGTTGTGGGCTTTTGATATATGGATCGTTAAGTAACGTATAGTGAAGAAGATTATTTTTTTCTTCTTGTCGAAGAATGAAAAGTTGACTTGCCAAGCAGCTTCACTAACTTTGAAAAATAATGTCTTTTGTTATACACTTGTAAGTATACCTTTTCGCGATATATGGAAGTTTTGCATAGTTGATTTTACAAAGGAATGGTTTTATTGGTTGGGATATCATATATTTGCTCAGAAATTGAAAATATGGATGACTTTAGTGGTTGAAAAAACTATTCCTAAGGTATTATATGATGATTTCAGTTGTTGTTTATGTTTGCCTAATTAGGTTATTGATGCATATAGCACGGGTAATATTAAAATGTTTCCTCTTTGTGGTGGCATCTTTTGATGCTTTAAGCTGGCATTAAATGGTGATTTGAAGAATATCATCATTTGGATTTGGTTTTTATTGTTGAAATAGCACGAAGAATGACGCAGCGCGAAACAAGGGATTCAAACGAAAATCAATTTTTTTGGAATCCACCAAAATTATAAAGAAAATAAATTCGTGAAATTTTATTAATGTAAGATAATGAAAAACAACAAATTAACCATTTATTTGTAAGGATTTACATAAAAATCCAGTTTAAATAAACTAAAATTGAAAATGACAGAAATAGCACTAAAATTCTAAAAGTAGTTTTCAAGTCCTAAACGAACTCTAACCAAAATCAATCGTATCTCACGGATAAGTGGCGAGTTCTATTTGTCTCATCGTTCTCCATTCAGAATGGTATTATGGGTCCAAATCAAAGTCAAATGCTATTCTCTGCACTTACTTTTTTCCCATGTTGATTTATTTCTTTTTCAATCCATTCAACAATTTGTTTTATATCAAAGAAGCTCTTGTGAAGCACCATCTTCGTGGTACTTGGCTCAAGACCATTTTAAGAACCGTCTTTGGGGTGACAAGTCCATGTATGCTCGTGGGTCTTCACGATGGTGAATTTTTTTAAGAATGTTATATTTTTATAGTCAAAGTGAAATGAGTCTACCAATAAAAAATTTTGTTTGAAAAACTTTCTTGGTATGATACTTTAGCTACAACAATTCAAGATTTATTTCATTATCTCCGACTGGGTCCTTCATAGACAATTTCTTTTCATGAGATTTGTGCATAAGTGTGCAATATATAGATTTGAATTCGCTTTGAAGGGCGTAGCACAATTATGTAAAACCTCCTCTTTAAGACGCAAGCTTAACCACATGTTACCGTTTGAGAGTATGAGGACTTGTGAGGACTTCAAATTGAACACTTAGGGTGCGTTTGATTACAAGTAGGAAAATTACATGGAAAGAAAATTAATTCCAAGGAATTGAATTACCTAGAAATTGTTTTCATGGAAATTGTAAATTATTGTGTTTGATTGTATAAATTTTTCACGTGGAAAATGTTGAAGTAAAAGTATTTTTTGATGTTCGTTTGACTTTGTTTTACGTGGAAATTGTCAATTTCAGGGATATCCTCTTTTACAATTATTCCTAAAATTTGTTCCCATTGCCAAAAATTAAAAAAAAAAAAAAAAAAGCCAAAAAAAAATAAAAAAAAAGGTGGAAAACCAAAAACCACCTATCCCCTAGGAAAAAAAAGGTGGAAAATCACGCTTTAAGGTGTTGTACCTAGAAATTCATGGAAAATCAATTCCCTGGAAAATTTTGTCAATCAAACAGGCCAAAAGTGGAAGTTGGAATTCGAATTCCAAGTTCCATGGAAAATTTCGTGCAATCAAACGGGGCCTTATTGTTTTTTTAACCAATGTCCATCACTCATTTCTACCTATTTATAAATATAACCATTTATAAACACTTCACAAACATGCTTTAAGATATCTATTCAAATATTGAACTTGGATTTCGATTGTAGGATTTCTTAAGCAATAGAAAAATACTTTTTCAAAGACTAGGCCTAATTGCTTTAACTTTCCTGATGGTCCCTCACAGAATTGTGACATAAAATCACCCTTTCACGTTTTGCAAACATACCAAATAAAATATTATCTTGATTCCTATCTCTTTCTGTCCTACAGGGGAAGGTTGAAGCAGTCAAGTACTGGGTGGTTGATGGTTTCTTATATATGAATGGTAATTGTAGGAAAGACGTGAATTTATTGATCAATATCACCTTTTAGGTTGCTCTTGAAATATTTGCTTGCTTAATTTGGGAGGATTTGTAAAATCATTCTAACTCTTTCAAATATTTGTGCAATCTAGTTTATAAATAATAAAGTGGAATGGAGGTCCCATTCTCATGTAAATGTTCACAAGTTTTCAAGAAGATCTTGGTCCTGAATTAGTATATTAATTTTCATTTCTTCTTTTACTGTATACATTTTTTCCCCTAAAATCCAGAAGATGATATAAAGAATGTTCTGTCATTTCTAAGGTTTAAATATATTCTTGAAGTATATGATAGCAAATTCCTGTATATTTTGCTGCAATTTCTGTTCCAATGCTGGCCATGGGCTGCCATAGTAAATATTTTATTTGGTGTGAATTAGGCAGTCTTTGAATATTCATTACTCCGGTGTCGTTTTTGGACTAATGCACATAAAGTTTATGTCTATCTTCCTGTGTAAATTCATTCCCCTGCTAAAATTCTTGAGTTCATAAATAATAAATATTGACAATAAGCATCTTTTTTGCTAAAAAAATTCTTTGACATGCTTATGGATGGCTGTTAAGGAGAAAAAAAAAAAAAAAAAAAAACCGGTAATTTAGGAAAAGATTCCTTAACCACATGGAAGACAATTTCTGAAAATGGCCATTATATGTAGGAAAATATCAGAATATAGAATTGGAGTTTCCCATGATTCAGGGGTAATAATGCTCTTCTGGTTTGTTTTACATGGCTTTTCTAACAGAAACCACAGAATACATTACGTTAAGGAGACAATTAAACATGAACAAGGTGACAATTAAACATGAACAATTTAAACAAAACACTATCTCGAGAAAGGGAAAATATTATTGAACTTCAATCACTCAATGATCTAATTACATTTCAAAAGACAACAAAGTGCAAAAGGAGACAACACACTTATAAATATAATCCTTCCAAGCAGTGTTAATTATTTCCTAAATAAATTGTCTTAAACTGAATACACAGAACACTTATCCCAGAACCAATTTTTAAAGAACCAAGGAATTGAATTTGCCTTTCTTCTTTCTGCAATCTAAATGAACCTTAAAACAAATTTTGACACTTAGGAAAAAAGCCAAAACTGATTCTAAATGCACCGTTGACACTTGAAAAGAGGAGCAGTGCTTAATCCCTTGCAAATCTGAAAACTTCTTAAACGAAAACTGTCGAAATTTTGGGTGTACCATCAATTGAAGAAGTGATCTGTTCTGTTGAACAATAATTTGGAACCCACCAAACTCTGAGACTTTTATCAAGGCTTCCACTATAGAGCATGAATCCACCCCCTACTCTTGTTGGAGATGCCTGCAAGCATTTAACTGGCCCTTCATGGCCTTTAATGATCATTGTTCTAACCAAGCCGCCTTTGATCTCTCTTTTCCATATACTAATACTTTTATCTGCTGATCCACTGCACAAAAACTCCCCCATTAGACACATACACAAAACCGCAATTTTATGCGCTTTAGTCTCACAAATTACCCTCCAACTATCAAAATCCTTATTCACCAACCATCCCATTATATAACCATCTGAACCTCCTCCATAAACCAAATTTCCATCCTCATTTACAACTATTGAATTCAGTGATATATCCTTATGCCCCTCAAAAATTCCCTTAAGCGAATGCTTATTATTCTTCCCCTCCTTCCCCCAGGCTTTGATCCTCCCATCTGCTGATGCAGAGTAGACAATTCCCTTGGAAGCAACTAGTCCATTGATTGCGTCGTCATGGGCTTTTATTGATTCCAA